ATATATATAATATATATATATATATATATATATATATATATATATATATATATTAATATTCTTTAATCGTATATCTTTGAGTTTACACATTATTTTCTTATCATTCTTATTTAATATTTTCTGATTTGCATTTCCATTTCATATATAATTAAGTTTATACCACCCTCATTTTTTGCATCGAAATATTTACATATATGTAAACTTATATTTCCGATATTATGGCATTATTTTATTCATCCCTATATTTCACATATAATTCTCATTAATACTTTCATTACTATTATTATATTATTATTATTTTCTTTATTGTTATTATTTTAATGTAACTATTTATTCGTGTTACATAATTTTTTACATACATTTAATATTTTATAATAACCCAACAAATCATTTCTTTCTGTCATATTAAATAACTTTCACAATTTCACAACTAATTACACCAACAATCATAACTTTACAATACAATATCATATCCCGATTATTATATTAACAAAACATATTTCCCGCGATTTCCGCTCGATCGCGGGTTCTAATCCGAAAATATAGTTTGTAATCGTATCCAGCGTCGCCATTGAACATAAATACATTAGATATCCCTTCTCAAATTCCGATAACAGTTCTACGTCATCTCGGGACGTAACAACAGCGTAGAACAAAACTGGTGACAATGGTGGGATGGCACAAGGTACGCGATCTTAATTATCGTACTCGCCTAGATTTTGCTGCTCAACCGTTATCCGAAGCAGAGATAGACGCTTTCAGACATCAATACTTAGAAAAAGAAAAACAATTAAAAGAACAGAGTGATGCTATATCACTTCGACAAGAAGAACTTGAAAGACAACGAAAGGAATTCGAACGAACTAAAAACGCTAACTCAGACATCAGTAATTTTAATATTATGCTAAACACGATTCAAAAGAATCTTTCCTTTTTGTAAACTTAAAGCGAACGATTTCAAATTTGAGAGAAACGCGTAGGTGATATACAAAATATCCAACTCTGCTTCCTATAAATCATTGCAAGACGCTGAGACTAGGGAGAATCGAATTATGCAAGACAACACATTCTTGAGCCTACCACCTATTTCATCGAATCCTTTCCAACATACGGAAGTGAATTATTCTAATTCGTCAATCCGAGACGCTTTGGATCTCGTGCCTAAATATGATGGACATAATATGCCCGTTTTACAATTTGCATGCACTTGCAAACGCGTTAAAGAACTTATCCCATTGACTAACGAAAATCATTTAGTCAGATTATTAAGAAATAAACTAACAGGTCATGCGTATCTAGCCATTGAAGATGAGCTTCATAATACAGTCGATCAGTTCAAAGATTGTTTAAAACGTACATTCGATCCAGTACGGATTTCTAATTACTATCGCGGACAATTAAGCATCAACTTCAAAAAACCCTCGGAGCATATTTTAGATTATATCGGTCGTGTAAAGGATTTGCGCAACGCTATAATCGAAGGAGATCAAAATCAATTTGGTCGACCTCTCAATAATTTTGAAATCGAACAGATTCATATACCGATTCATATACCCTAGAATCGTTCTTTGAGGACCCCGAATACCGTACCGAAATCCGCATGGAAAATTATCAAAATTTCCTAGAAGCCTATAATAAAGCAATACTCATTAGTAAGAGGCTCGAACGTGATCGTGTACGTCAACGCGATACGAAACCAAATCCTGTTTGCAACACCTCAATTACCGATCGAAGAACAACACCACCAATTTCCATTATGCAATCAGATCGCCAAATCAGTCTTCTTCTCCTAATCTCTCTTCCCTCCAAGCTAAAATCTGTGCATACTGTAAAAATTTTGGTCACCTAATTTCCAAATGTAAGAAAAGACAATATAACAATGCTATGCGCGATAACAATCAGGGAAGCTTGCCTCTCGAGGGCGCAAATCGAGGGTAGGCGATCGCGCGCCCATTATACCCCAATAACCAACCGAAATATCAGAGTTGCCGTCGTCAGCTCCGGAATCGTCCCAACCATCGAATTAGATTCCTGCTCTTT